ATTTTAGATCTGTGTGGCAGCAGCAATATACAGTAAATAAATCAATAAATCCACTGCTCTCTTGTCTCCTCTTGAGGCTGGGACTCTAAATAGTGTTCTGTGCTCGTCTGTGCAGCCAAAGACAGAACAGTTAGCGAGTTTTGCTCAAAGGTTCGCCATGGCGCCGTGGGTGGAAACTTACAGATTAAGGGGCGGCAATATTATAATGAGATCCCTTTGCAACGTCACCAAGGGAGCAAAATCAGACGCGCTCGTTTTTTCAGCCGCTTGCAGACAAAGGCTTACCAAAGCAAAGTTACTGGGTTAATCTTTTTCACCTTTCCTTGGTTGGTAGATGCACCGGGGACCTGATTATAGCACTTAAAACCTGGAAAAGTCAGATTTTCATGATATGTCACCTTTAAATCGTGCAGCTTGTTGAAGCAAGATATACTATTTCTGAGCAGTTAAACTGGCACATAATAAAAAGTTCAAAAATCCAACTAGAGCTTACGAATGTTTTTTTTATGTGAAAATATCAGATTTACAGTATATTAAAAAAGTAAGAAGCTCCACCACTAAGCCTACCTCAGCGGGGTGAGAGCAGATTGTTTGAAAACATACAAATGAATATACGAATTAATATGAATTAGCAAAAAAATAGTTACGAATTGCCGTTAAATTATGTTGGAAAAATCCTAAAGACTTGAAATGTAGAGCAGTGGTTCTCAATCAGGGCCCACTAGGGGGCCTTAGCAAACTTCTACAAACATCAAATGTTAAGATGACTTAAAATTATTTAAAACGAGAAAAATCAAGCATTAAAAGAAGCTAGAATTTTTATTTTTTTTAATATCCACCTCTTTTTTTTTCTTTGAAGAACCAGGGTTTCTTCTTGGAAAACTTAGATACATGAGGTAGCCCAATTTTAATGATACAATTTTAATTTGTAATTTGTAGACCTGGAAAAGTCATGTAAATTATATATATATATATATATATTTAAATAAAAAAATTTTTTAGTAAAGCCAAGGTCTGTATAAAAAACTTTTCCTTAACCCTTAAAGGGTTAGTTCACCCAAAAATGAAAATAGGCTTGTGTTTTACTCACCCTCGAAGCATCCTAGGTGTATATGACTTTCTTCTTTCAGACGAATCCAGTCGGAGTTATATTAAAAATTGTCCTGGCTATTCCAAGCTCTATCATTGCAGTCAGCGGGTGTTGCAGTTGAATAGTCCACAAGTCGTCAAATAAAACTTGCGCATTCATAATAAAACGTGCCTCACATGGCTCCGGGGGGTGAATAAAGACCTTCTGTAGTGATTCCATGCGTTTTTGTAAAAAAAATAACCATATTTCAAACGTAATAAACACTTTTATATCACTTCCACCAACTGTCATACGCGGAAGCCGTGCCAGCGGATGAAGTAGCACGTCGGCATTGCGTGATTAGTGACGAATGTGGAGAGACAACAAAACAAAACGCCGTTCACGAATTCGAAGTACAAACCGAGGATTTGCAAAGAAAAATGTCGGAGGATTTCGATATAAGCCAAGAGGAGACTGGTTTTCCTTTGCTAAAGTAAGGAAAGTTTGCTTCCTTTGCTCCTATAAACAAACTCACGAGACTAGCATACCTCAGAGGCGCGCGTGCTATGCATATGTCATACGCCTTCCGCTGGAACGGATCCGTGTATGATAGATAACGGATGTGAGAGAAAAGTGTTTATTACATTTGAAATATGGATATTTTTCTTACAAAACGCATGGATTCACTACTGAAGGCCTTTAATCCCCCCGGAGCCGTGTGACGCGCGTTTTATCATGGATGCGCGCACTGTATTTGACGACTTGTGGACTGTTCAACTGCAACACCCGCTGACTGCAATGATAGAGCTTGGAATAGCCAGGACAGTTTTTAATATAACTCCGATTGGATTCGTCTGAAAGAAGAAAGTCATATACACCTAGGATGCTTCAACGGTGAGTAAAACACAAGCCAGTTTTCATTTTTGGGTGAACTAACCCTTTAAGGCTCTGAACAGATTTTTAAAACTACAGGCATCATAAACTTGCCGCCTTTGTAAATGGTTACAGAAAAAAAACCTGGACATTACACTAAACGACTGAGATTCACACTCTACCAGACTTTCAGGTCATTCTGAACACAACACACTCACATAGAAATGAGCGCCTCGTTGCTAGAAGATTAATAATGTGTTCTAATCGGCTCAAAATCTCTGATATCCTCCGACTGAACGGATTCATAGTCTGAAGATAAAAGAGTCTGTGCCAATCATACTCTACATGATTTCTGTTTTCTGTATATCACGATTTCTCAACTCATCCTAGCGTATGTGTGTGGGGAAATAATCGTAGAGGAAGGAGATATTTACAGTTGTGGGGGTTTATGCAGTTTTATGATATACTATTTTAGATTCGGTGGTTTATTTTTAGGTTTGCCCACTTTTGGATGTTCTTTAAAAGGCCTAATTTAAATGGATAAGTTCACCCACATGGTGTCCCAAACTTGTATGCAGATCTTTCTTCAGTTGGAAAGTAATAATTGTTTTGGTTTGTTTTGGACCCCATTTACTTTCATTGTATGGACAAAACAGTTCTTTAAACAATGTCTTTTGTGATCCACAGATGAAATAAAGTCATAAACCTTTGAAACGATTAAATTGTGGGTGAACTATCCCTTTGATTTAAGACTTGAGTCTCGCCTTTATACAGCTGACAACAAATGTGTGACAGTTACCTACGGTAGGGAGGTGTACTAGTTTAGTTGCTGTTTGTTTTTGAATTGCTCTGACTGCTTGTACGTGTGTTGTGAGAGGAGAGGGGTCGGGTTGCCAGTTTCATTTACAGTAAACAGTACATCAGGACAGTGTTTATCGGAAATGACTCCCTACACTTTAACTTGTGAAATTAATTTATGATCAATGACTCTGTTTTAATGGCCTTACAGTAACGGCTGGGTAGTTCCATAAAAACACACCTGAAGGATACAGCTTACATTAATATCCACCAAACTATAAGTTAATGTAGTATCACAATGTACAATTTCTCTAAAATATATCTCAAAAGTTCAGTAAGAAACCGATTCCTTCCTTTAATAAAAGGTCCATTCATTACTCACTAGCTCAGAACATTAAAAAGTGTGTGTTTGTTTGTACACTTCACTGTGTGTGTGTGTTTTGTGTTCACTCTGGTCTATTCCTGGTTTTGACATCTTATCCCTGTGCAGAGTGCACCAGCTTCAGGAACAACTTCAGGATCACTTGCCTTTCTCACTTTGCTCATTTATTTTTACTATAGCGAGTCAGTCAACACTTTACGGTAACAGTGTGTATCACAACAACCCTGTGTACTGTTTAGTGTTTACTCTAGAGTCTTATTTCCTATTGTAGGTGTTTGTTTGTTCTTGTTCAGATGCATGAAGCAATCTATATTTCCACATCTTTCACAGGAAGCATGTTCTACAATGTGTGTGTTTTGTAAGCAAGTTAAATAACAGATCTAGCAGTGCACTTCACTGAAAAAGCCATTGGCGTTACCAGTAACCCAAATCCCAGTATAATCTCCTGCATGGAGCAGTCTGAGAGTGTGTGCCGATTAGACCGTTTCCTGAATAACTTGAGATTTCTGTCCTAAAACCGGTTTGAGATTTCAGAGAGTTTTCTATTTTTCGAATGAAACTTGAAAATAAGGTGTTTGGAGGGCTTGTTCAACCCAGTCTCATGAGAAAACATAACTGTTTGCAGTTGTGCACAAATTTGTATGATGTGATTAATATGGAAATGTATGATTTTGAAAAAAAAAAAAAAGCGAAAATCCATCCCTAGCCCTCGTGGAAGAAAGTTATAAGAATTTGCGACATTGCGACAAATTTGCTTTGCGGTTGCAAAGGTGTTTGGAGTGGTTGTTAGAGCGTTGCTATGTGATTTATAGGGCGATATGGGCAGAGGCGGACAGTAACTAAGTACACATTTTGAGTATCTGTACTTTACTTGAGTATTATTTTTTTTCTGGGAACTTATGACTTTAACTTCACTACATTTGAAAGACAAATATTGTACTTTTCACTCCACTACATTTCTATCAAGCTCCTCGAAGTAGAACGTTGTTAGCAGCTTTGAAAGTCAGTGGGTGAGTTCTTTCTACCCTAAAAACTTCTTTTTTTCAGACGGTTTATCAGTAATCATTCTTGGGGCTACATGAAGTGATTTCCCAGCATCTTTTTGAACACTGACCAGTTGCAAATGTGATATTTATTTACAACAATTCAATAATAAGAAATTAATATTGTGGTATATATTAGACACAATATTGTCTGATTTTGTGTAAATTGTGTAGGTGAAAATATTACCTATTAAGCCACAGAAGAACTGTTGTGTGTCTCCTAATAAAACACAATAGGTGTCTACACATAGATGTGTGCACACTGTCAGAGCTGTGAGATCTCTACCATCCTGCTTTTGTGGGGGTGGGTATAGGGTGTTCATTTTTTAACATTCTAAAAGCTCTTTATTCCAAAGATACTACAAGCTAGTCAGTGTATTGAGCAGGTGTAATGTATTGTAAGTTGCTTCAGAAGTATTGCAAGTACTACGTACAACAATAAAACAGTGCATTGACATAAAGGAAATTTACTTTTGGTACTTAAGTACTTTTAAAAGCAAGTACTTCTGTAGTTTTACTTAAGTAAAAGTCTGTCTTTACGACTTTTACTTGTAATGGAGTTATATTTGACCAGCACTATCTGTACTTTCACTCAAGTAATAGAGTTGAGTACTTTGTCCGCCTCTGGATATGTGTGCATGGCTTTAGGTGCTTGATAACTGTCCCAAGTTAAAAGAGCCCACCTCCAAGCCTCCAGATATAATTTTGGGGCTTTAGTGTTAAATTATAACCTGTTTCTTGATGAAAATCGCAAGTTGAATTAGTTTGAAGTTAAAAACACTGCTAGGCGAGTAAGTCGACCGCGTGTATACATATTTTAGAATGATATGCCGGAGGGTCCCGCAAATATCAGCCAACTAAAAAAAAAGAAAAGACCTTGAGCTCAGCCAGACAGCTTTCTGGGACTGGGTCAGCGCGGCAGTCGACGGGAAACAGGCTCGCAGTGCATTAACAAATGAAAGAGTGGGGGACGTGATACCTGGAATCACGAGAAAGTGACACGAAGCTTGGGGAAAAACAACACTGTTCTCATATGACTCGCAATTAACTTGCTTTCTCTGGGTGTCGCGTGTCTGTGTGAGAAGGGATGAATAGAAGGATTTGTTTTCTGATACTAAAACCTTCAGATGCCTTCTGAAATATTAGTCGGTAAGTGTTCTAAAGAGCTGCCACGCGAGAACTAGACAAAAAAAGAGTCATTTTCCGTTTAACGCTGCGTGTAATAGACTATTTTCGAGAAGATGTGAGGTTGGTAGAGCGATGCCACGCCCTCGGGTGTCATCCTGTACGTGCAGATGCGAGAGTCACCCAAGCACTCAGCATTTCACCGCAGACCTCAAAACCAACAAAGGCTTAACAAATGATTAAATGCACCTATTCCTTCACTGTTTTACTCCGTATAGCTATTTCTATTCAAATTAAACAATGAAATACAATGAAAAAAGGACCAAATAAACAAAAACAAAGAAGGGCAAACAAATAAACACTAAATAGCCTATTGTAGCCTATAGGCTATATATCAGGGTTCCTCAAATCTTGCCCTGGAGGGCCAATGCGCTGCAGAGTTTAGCTCCAACCCTGATCAAACTCACCTACCTGTGATTTTCTAATGATCCTGAAAACATTGATTAGCATGCTCAGGTGTGTTTGATTAGGGTTAGAGCTAAACTCTGCAGGAAAGTGGATCTCGTGGGCCAGATTTGAGGGTCCCTGCTATATAGGCTATCCTAACGTTAAATTCAGCGAAGTTGCCTTTTCTATAATGTTCCAAAACGTTGAATGTTCATTAGACTAGAAGTTTGAAATATCTCGGAAGATCTTTTATTATTATAAGTAATGAATGGATTTGTTTTTAACATTTTTTTTTTTGTTAAATAAACCCCAGTGACAATTTCTTTCAAATCACTGGTTGTGCTAAAAGTTATATAAAGTAATTCTTGAAATTACATACACATCTAGTTTCATTTAATTGCCGATTCATCAGTTAAACACCTTTTTACAGATATGGAAATAAAACGGACTATCATTTTGTTTTACATTTACCCTAAGAGTTGACCGTTACGTTCATTACTAATTGACTACTTTTATGGCAGGAAATAATCATTTTAAAAACAACAAGCCAGTAGTAATTCAGCAAGCTTGAAGATGCTGGCTGTTTTTCTCCACGGGTTTATGAAGATTGATGGATTGATGTAGTGACTCCCCGCACGTAGGCATGTGGGGATGCCCACTCTACGCGTGACCTGCATCTTTAATGCTCTTGAGTGCGCTGCCTTACAATGCCTTTTATCATTTTGTGCATACAATTAGCGTTTAGAAATACAACTAAACATCAAAATAATAATAATGAATAGTCTATTATTAAAACGCATGGATGTAAAGTGTATACACCACAGTTGAGGGGTTTATTTTTGTTCATTTGAAGCATGTTTCGCGTTTCCCCGCAAGGTGGCGCGTGTGAGCGCTCTCAGCGGAAGACACGCCTCTTCTGGAGTTGCGTCACGGCCTCGTGCTGCCGGTGCCGTATTTAAAGCGCGGATGACTAGGGAGGGACTTGACGCGAGGGGTTACCGGAGAGCAGAGCGAGCGAGGTGGTCTTCAAAAGTAGAACGGAGGCAAATCGGCGCAAATCTTCAAACAGCTTTTAAAGAAGAAGACGACGACGACTTACAAAGAAGAGACTCCTAATTCTTGACTTTTCGTTTGTGTTCGCAAACAGTCTTGGAATTTCCGAAGCCGGTGTGTGTAACGTGCCGCAGTTTATTTTGCTGACATTTCCCAGTCTGAAAGGAATGCCAAGGGAGCTAACCCAAAACAGAATCCAAAAAATCTGGATTCCCTCTAAGGATGGCAAACCTTCAATGCCCCGCACATGTAAGTGATTACATATTTACATTTTTATTTCATATTAAAGAATGGTGAGCACATGTATTATTATTAACATGAAAGCGTATTTACATCTGAAGTTTAAGGTGATGGTTCATCGGTTGCCATGACTACAGAATTAAATGACATGATATAGCCGGCTAAAGATGTCTCAAGTGATTCTGTTGTCATGGAGACCCACGCGCATCGCCTTTGTAAAGACGTTCGAGATCATTGGCACGCTGACGACGCCAAGGCATTGAAGAACACTGAATAGGGATTTGACGGAGAGGGTTTCCAATCATGCTGGGCTCTGATTGGTCGAATTGGCGTGAGCGGGATGCCAGTAGAGCAGTGAATCTCAACCCTTTGGCGTACCGGACCCCAGTCCAATTCAGAACCATCCTCAAGTACCCCCAGAACAAAATTGACTCATCTATGTATCTTTTGTGTCTTTGTGAGGACCAAATGCAGTCAAGTATAATTCAAGTTAGTTGACTTGTCCAGTATTTGGCCATATGGATTTTTGTTTCATGGGAACATGTCATGTCAAAATATACAACATTTATACAAAACTTTATACTTAATACGGACCCCCTGGCCTTACGTCAAGGACCACTAGGGGTCCACGGACCCCTGTTTGAGAAACACTGCAGTAGAGGATGCATACTCATCACAAGCGATGCATTATAATATCTGCTGTGTCCGGGATATCACCTTGCCCCTCATGTTGTTCACTGTGATTATAATGAAGGCATAATTTACTGCAATAAATGATAAATAGCCTATACAGAAGTGCTCATATTTGGTAAGTTAGAAAGGAGTGTCGATGTATGTGTCATGAAAGACAGAACAATTGCAAAAAAATAAATCGGCAGGCCATAAAACTTTAATCTAAATAAACATACTATAATTGTAATAATTTATGCAATGATACATTTTATTTACAGTCAAATAATTGTATCCAGGATAGCGTTTTTTTTTTTTTATTGCAGTATTGCAAAATTCTAAATGTCCTCCTCTAAAATAACAGTAAGATTCACAGTGTCTAACATGTTAATGTCCCAAAACATGATCATAATTTCCTTTATGCATAAAAATGTAAATGTATATTAAAAAAATATATATTATGTTCTCCATAAGATTCTGTCTGGTCATTGTACGTGGATAGCCGGTAAAAGTCTAATAAGATCATTGTCTGTGTCTGCTGATTGAGCGGAGTTTGAGGTTGGGGATCTTCTTAAGGATTAACCCTGACTGCGCTGGTTCACATTGCCCATTCACATGGCCACCTGCCAATGGACGTCTGTAACTCATTGAGAAAAACTGCTGTGTACTTTCTCTCTCTCTCTCTGATAGGGATTAATCTAACCGATAAATAACTTGATGAAAT